TTTGTCAGTTAATTATCTTATGGTCCCCAATTATCCAGTCAAACTACTTGCCAAAATGATAATTTTACCTCTTCTTTTCTAGTTTATCAGCTTCCAATTTCTCCCTTTTACCTAGTTGTGTTGGCTGAGACCATTAGAACACTATTAAATGATAATGGTAATGGTATATACTTGACTTCAACAGGAATATATTTCATGTTTTCCATGTAAGTATTATACTACCTTTGAGGAAGAGATGGGCATATTTTATCATATTAAAGAACTATGCAACTACATCTATTTCTATTATGAATTTTTATCCAGAATGGATGTTGAGTTTTGTCAAATGTCTTTCAGCAGCTATAAAAATGGATTATGACTTTTCTTCTTAATCTGTGACTGCCAACAACACATCTTCCATTTACTGGCTCATAGCAATGAGGAAGAATGTAAACCAAGAGAAACTATGGGGGGTTGCTCTTTTGCGTGGTTTGAATAATGTTATTGTTTTGTCTGTGTTTAGCCATGATTATGGAATGGTCTTGTCTCTGCCAAAAACGCCAGGGATTGCTGGGAGCACCAGAAGCCAAGAGGAAAATACTAAACACATTCTCCCCTAGAGACTTGCTAACACCTTAATTTCAGACTTCTACCCTCCAGAACCAGGAGACAAAAATTTCTGTTGTTTTAAGCTACTTGGTTTGTGGTACTTTGTTATGGTAACCCTTGGACACGAATACAGGTATCAGCTACAAAATGAATGTATTAGGGCTTGGTACCTGTGGCTCAAGTGGCTAAGTGCCAGCCACATATACCAGAGCTGGCGGGTTCAAATCCATCCTGGGCCCGCCAAACAACAATGACAACTGCAACCAAAAAACAGGCGGGCACTGTGGTGGGCACCTGTGGGCCCAACTACTTGGGAGGCTGAGGCAAGAGAATTGCTTAAGCCCAGAAGTTTGAGGTTGCTGTGAGCTATGATGCCATAGCACTCTACCCAGGGGGATAGCTTGAGGCGCTGTCTTAAAAAAAAAAAGAGAATGTATTAGTTTTTCAAGATCCTTTTTGGAGGCTTGTGACCCAAATTAGTGCTTTCCAATTAGTGTTTTTCAAACACAGATTAGTGTTTTTCAAAGGTGTCTGTGCATCACAGGATTCTGCTGCATCTCACTCCCTGGGGTCTTATTTTAAAAGTCATTTCCTGGGCTCCTTTCAGACCCACAGGATGGGTTTGGGCCCTGTATTCTGCATTTTGAACAAGTTCCCCAGGTTCTTCTGTATTTTAAACCACTTGCTGAAGTGAAAGATCTCTAGATTGCAGACAAAGCTCTCTGAAGGATTAATCCTCATCTGGTCTACTATTAAATTCCCTATGCCTTGGCTTCACTTGTCACTTAGGAATAATGATGCTTCTTTGTCCTACCTCACACAATTATTGTAAGCAAAAAGTGATAAGTTCTTTTGTAAAGTTTAGTAGTTTTCTTTTTTTCAGTTTTTGGCCAGGGTTGGGTTTGAACCCGCAACTTCTGGCATATGGGACCACTGCCCTACCCCTTTGAGCCACAGGCACTGCCCCCAAAGTTTAGTAGTTTTAATACTTGTGAAAATCTATTACTGTTTCACTTTTTGGACAAAGACATTTCCAGGGAGGGAGTTAAAGCATATACACTAGTAGGGAAAGCCCTGGCACCAGTCCAACTCCAATACTCATTCACTATACAGCATTTGTAAAATTGGGGCTGTGGGATAGATTTCTAAGAAACAGTCCAGCTGGGGCAGTGCCTTTGGCTCAGTGGGTAGGGTGCTGGCCCCATATACCAAGGGTGGTGGGCTCAAACATGGCCCTAGCCAAACTGCAACAAAAAAATAGCCAGGCGTTCTGGTGGGCACCTGTAGTCCCAGCTACTCGGGAGGCAGAGGCAAAAGAATTGCCTAAGCTCAGGAGTTGGAGGTTGCTGTGAGCTGTGACGCCACAGCACTCTACCAAGGGCAACAAAGTAAGATTCTGTCTCAAAAAAAAAAAAAGTCCAGCTCTCACATTCCACAAGGCTGTGAAATAATCCAAGAGTTAGAGCAGGCTAACAAATTCAGATGCCTTTGCTTTGGGGAGACAGGGCAAGGTAAAGCACCTTATCCATCCAATTATTTTGCATTTTAAAACACTGTTTGAGAGAGCTGGCCTCTCCCCTTCCTTGAGACAGAATCCACAGACAACGTAGCTCTTTCCTACCTTCAGTCACCTCTGCAAATGAGGTAGCTGGATCTGGAAGCTCTGGGGATAGGGGTCCATCTATTTATCCTTTTGTAAAACACCTACCAAAACAAAATGACTTTAGAAGCACCCTCCCCAAACTTGGCTTGGCTGTAATGACGAGTTGTGTACACCCAGAAAGATTAGAGTGAAATAACCTTGGGGTTATGAAAAAATAAACTTGGACCCACTCAGATGCTAATAATTGGTGATTTATTCTCACCCGCGCAGGGGGCCGTTATTCTGAGACAAGCAGCCCTGAAGTGCAGGGTTTTTTGTCTTTTATTCCTTTTTTTCTCTGCTAGCTTAAGCGAGTATGGGGGGAGGGACAAGGAACGTTGCCATTGGCAGGGTTACAGCTTAGTTGTCGATGGATACGTTTCATATCACAATGGTTATGATAATTGATTAATGGATACATCTTAAATCACAATGGTTATGGTTATACAACAGTAATTAATCAAGCCTCGGTGAGTTTTCCACCATTGTTCATCTACTGAGAACTTGGGGGATTTGTGAAACTTGGGACTTTCTGTGCCTCTTTGAATTCTGGAGAGCATGGGAACATAGCTGGAAAGGCCCTTAGGGCGGAGGAGCAAGGGAACAGGAGAGGGCAGGATGTTGCCCACAGGGTGGGGGAGTGTGAGAAGGCTGGGGGAGAGGGGGACAGGAGTTTCCAACAAGAGTTTCCTACAGTTCTTCCTCTCCTAATCCATCTCTGACTGAAATTTTGAAACACCTCTTTTTAGAGTGCTTCTCCATTAACAAAGTGACCAGCTCTAAGCCCTGGTAACAACACAACTTTAAAATCATTTGTGGCTTGGGCTGTGCCTGTGGCTCAAAGGAGTAAGGCACTGGCCCCATATGCCATAGGTGGTGGGTTCATAACCCAGCCCTGGCCAAAAACCACAAAAAAAAAAAAAAAATCATTTGTGGCTTTGCAGGGAGAGAAGGCTCTTTCCTTGTTTGAATTAGGCTCCTCTGAGTCCTCTTTTTGATTATGCCCTGAACTTGGGCTCTGTGCTTGGCTTAATAGTTTTAGTGAAAATCCTGCTGAGTCAGTTCAGTATAAATCCCCCTATCCTCGGTATCTGGCCTGTATTCAACTAGAATCTTCCTAGCCTTTAAATTTAGTGTTTAGATCAGTGTTATCTCCATCCACTGATCCCTCACCCTGCTCCTTAGCTGTAAATCTCCACCTGTCCTTGTTTTTGATATTGAGCTAGATCCCTTTCCACTACTGCACCTCCCTCCCCCATTACAGCCAACTCCTTTTTTTGAGACATTCTCACTTTTTCACCCTGGTAGGATGCTGTGGTGTCACAGCTCACGACAACCTCAAACTTGCATTCAAGCAATTCTCTTGCCTCAGCCTTCCAGGTAGTGGGGACTACAGGAGTCCCCCACAATGCCTAGAGACAAGGTCTGGCTCTGGTTCAGGCTGGTCCCTGTGAGCTCAGGCAATCCACCTGCCTTGGCCTCCCACAGTGCTAGAATTACAGGTGTGAGCCACCCCATGTCCGACAGCAACTCTCTTGAGTAAAGACTGCCTTACTGTCTTTAACAGGTGTTTGAATAATTTTTAACACTAGTCCCATTTCCTACTTTAACATGTCAAATCTGTTTTCTTGTCTGTATAATGGAGATTAATGATAACTTTGATGAAAACGTAAAGATAAAATCACTATTCTTGGGTAAGGAGTTCCAGTTTTTTTGTTTCTTTGAGACAGAGCCTCAAGTTGTCACCCTGGGTAGGGTGCTGTGGCATCACAGCCTACAGCAACCTCCAACTCCTGGGCTTAAGCAATTCTTTTGCCTCAGCCTCCCAAGTAGCTGGGACTACAGGCGCCCACCACAACGCCGGGCTACTTTTTGGTTGTAGTTGTCATTGTTGTTTGGCAGGCCAGGGCTGGATTCGAACCCACCAGCTCTGGTTTATGTGGCTGGCGCCCTAGCCACTTGAGCTACAGGCGCTGAGCCAGGAGTCCCAGTTTTATTTGAAGCTCTTCTATTAGGCTGGCCTGGCATTAATTTGCTGGAAACAGAGGGGGCACCTTTGCAGAGAATAGGAGGAAGGGCACCATAGGACGCGGAGACCACCCCTGGGAAGAATAGGGAAGACTGCCTCCAGCCTAAGTCCTTGAACTTGGCTGACTCAGAGGTAAAAAGCTCAGGGTATCCAGCAAGACAGAAGTTGCCCACTATGGTGCCCATGTGGGGGCAACGTGGGAGAAAAGAGGCGTTCTGTGCTCTGCCCGGGGAAAGAACGCTGTTTCTTTGGCTCCTGGACAATTTGCAGTCTGTGGAGGCGGCAGGACACCCCAGTGAACACAGCGTGGACGTCCCCTGGGCGTCACTGGGCAGTGGGTGCTTGTCCCTGGAGACAACCTGAGTGGGTTTCTTGAAATGATGAGTGACCCTTTTAGCTGTGGAGACCACCAATATATGGATCCTTGTTTTTTGTGGCCTCTTCCATTGAGCGCGGGCCAGTGCAGACAGTCAGACGCACTCAGCTGAGTTCCCGGGTTGGAAGGGACCTTGGGGACCGCTTGGAGGGGAGGAAATCTAAGCTATCATTCGCCCAGAGCTACCACCACAAACATGTATTAAATTCCAGCGTGCAGGTGCTTTCTTTAAGGTCCTACCATCACACTATCCCCAACTTCCCAACTTCAAGCGCCCGGCTCGGAGGCGGGGCAGAGCGTCCCGACCCCACTCCTTCCGGCAGCGGCGCCCGCGCCTGCGCACTGGGGCGGCCGCCGGCTGGAAGACGGTACCACCTGCCGGGCAGGGGATGCGCTCGAAGACTCTCCCTCCCGGAGGTGTTGCTCCCGGAAGTGGCCTCTTGAAAGCTCAGGATCCCGGAGCCACTTGCCAGCGGCTGGTGAGTTCCTGGATCTTCGAGCCTGCGGCGCGTGGTGGGCGCGGGGCAGCTGGCCAGCGGGGGCCGGAGGTGCTCTTTACCCGCTGAAGAGGCGCCGGTGGCTGCCCGGCTTAGCGGCTTGGCCAGCGCGGTCTCCGCGGGCGGCTGGTCCAACCTGCCGCCCGAGGTAAGCCGGGGAGCAGGCGCTGCGGTCCCCTCCCCACAGTTCTAGCAGCCCTAGTGGCCCGCTCCTAGGCTGGTGGCCTTCTCTCCCCAGTGCCCCTTCTCCTAGAACACACGAACGAGTCCAGAATCTTTTGGAATAGCCAGCCCTTATCATGCTCTCTTTCAAGAGCTGCCGTGAAATACCGTGACAGACATTAAACTCACTTTAGCCCGCAAGCAGTCCATGAGGTGGGTGCTGTCACTGTACCTGTGGTATAGACGAGGACACTGGGGCGTGTGGCAGCGCGATCACAGCCTATGGGCAGCACAGCCAGGCTGTAAAGCCGTAGAGACCGGCCCTGGTGTCAGACCCTAACCTCCCAGAAAAGCACAACGGGTTCTGCTGTTGTGTCGTTTTAAACAGATCTTGTTTTAGATCACTTTTGTGCAGTGTGAAATCTAATGATCCATTATTATTATGTAAAGCTTCTCTCTTGGGTTCTAGTTCTTATAAGTAACCAAACATGCACATGGGACAAAACCCACAAATACATGGTGGCTTGTCCTTTCCACAAGTGCATTGCTTCCCTCCTTTTCCTTGACACCCACTGTTTAGTTTCCTCACATGTGGGATCCAGGCATGAGACACCCAGGGCTTGAGGACCCAGCAAGTGCTCAAAATCCTCTGCGGGGTGGGTGGAATAGACACTGCCTCCCCCCGTGCAGGTGGCCTGGGCAGAGTGAGGACTGAGGAAGGCCTGGCACAATTATGGAAGGCCCGGGTGGAGTGAGGCACGAGAGAGGGAGGAGTGGCCCCTTTCCTTCTGGGCATGAGGAGGAACAAGGGTGGGTAAGAGCGATGGGAAGGAGGCCTTGGATTTATTGAGCCTTACCCCGGCTACTCAGTCACTCAGCTCAGTCACTCAGCCACTCATGGTGGCTGCACTGGTGTGCTGTGAGAGGATCTCAGATGTGCCATGGAAATTTTTAAAGATAATTAATTAAATTAGTTCCAAAAGAAGTTCAAAGCACAGTGAGTATATTTGTTTTTTTTACTTTTTTTTGATAAATATAATTGAAGGGTGCCAACGAAAGTTTAACTATAGATGCAAGTGTGCCATGAGATAAAAAAGGTTGAAAAACACTGCTCTAGTGTGACAAGCCCATTTCCAACTTGTCTTCTGTCCTGAACCTTGAGTGGCAATTGGGCACAGTGCTTGGAGGCTTGGTGGTGGTTCCTAGTAGATATCTGATGAATTTTCTTTCCTAATTTTTTTGTTTGTTTTTTGAGTCAGAGTCTCACTGTGTCACTCAGGGTGAAGTGCTGTGGTGTCATAGCTCACAGTAACCTCAAACTTTTGGGCTCAAGTGATTGATTCTCTTGCCTCAGCCTCCCGAGTAGCTGGGACTACGGGTGCCCACCATGACACCCGGCTAGTTTATCTATTTTTTTTTTTTTTTTTTTTTTTAGAGACAGAGTCTCACTTTGTCGCCCTCTATAGAGTGCTGTGGGGTCACAGCTTACAGCAACCTCCAGCTCTGCGATTAGGCTTAGGCGATTCTCTTGCCTCAGCTTCCCGAGTATTTGGGACTACAGGCACCCACCACAATGCCTGAGTATTGTTTTGTTGCACTTTGGCTGGGGCTGGGTTCCAACCTGCCACCCTTGGTATATTGGGCCGGCACTCTACTTACTGAGCCACAGGCGCCACCCAAGTTTGTCTATTTTTAGTAGAGATGGGGTCTTGCTTTTGCTCAGGGTAGTCTTAGACTCCCTTGTTCTCCCCAACCTTACTTCTCTTTGGGTCATCATTTTCTGCCCTTTCTGCCTCTGAGTCATCTTTGAGATCTCATCCTCTACCCTTCTGAACTGTTGGTGTTACCTGGGCAGCCACCCTGCCCCCTCTCCTCCCTTTGGTGTTTTCCTCAGTTTCTGTGGTAACTTGCCGAAGATTTGTTCCGAAAGAACCTCAAACTACCTGTGTGAGTAAATAGGCTCACTAGGAGTCACTCTAGCCCAGGCAGCCTCAAACTACAGCCCGCGGGCCACATGCAGCCCTCCTCAGACATTTATCTGACCCGCTGGGCGTTTTTGCCGCCACTGCCTGTCCTGCTTAGCAGCTGACTCATCCCGGGGCCCACAGCCAGCCCTCCAATGGTCTGAGGGACAGTGAACTGGCCCCCCGTTTAAAAAGTTTGAGGACCCCTGTTAGCCCTTCTTCCTTCATATCCATGCATGGATATTCCTTCAGTATAATCTATCTACCAGCCCTCCACACTGTCCCCTCCACCTCTCTGCCCCTACCCTGCCCTGGCCCTCTTCGCCTGTTATTTCCCAGTGCTTGCCTGCCTCCTATGTGGCCTCACTGTGTACCTTCCAGACTGTAGCCGGAGTGATCTGCTGCATGGCAGCCTTGCCTCAGCTTGGCCACCCTTCGAGTCTCATCTTGCTGTGGTTATGATCCTCCGGTGTGTGTTGGTCACCTGTAGTGATATGAGTCACAAGTAGCTTCTTGTTGAGTACTGGAGTTCATGGATGATTTTAAAATTTGCATTTTAGATTCATTTTGATTTGGATCTGGCTGTCAACAATGTCAGCCTTACTGTCATCTTGATGATGTGCCCCAGTAGAAGAAAACATGGTGGCATTACTTTGTACCAGTGACTGTGGGAGACTTTGATCTACCCAACAGGTCTGTCAGGCGTTAAAGATACTGCAGCAATACCCTAAGGTAAATACTCCTTATAAGACAAAAATCTAAACTCTTCGACATAATAGATTGTTCCCACAGGCTCCTCAAGCCCTTCTGCCTAATAGCACCATACCCCACTTACCCTTACTTTAGTATGACAGGCCCATTTCCACATAGTTGCCTCATCCTGAGCCTTGAACATCAATAGGGCAGTTACTTGTATCTTCAGGGCATAGTGCTGCTTCATATTAGATGGATAATGAATGTTTTGTTAAATGAATGGATCAAGAATATCTGCTAATATTCCAATTAACAGGCTAATTGGGAAACAGAACAGGACTGGTGCCTTGGGGTAAACTGAAACAGGACTGGATACAGGTTTGAGGCTGTGATATAGGCCACAGTCCTGAAAGGTCTTGCCTTTTTCTATACCATTGTTGGGTTTTATGCCCTGTTTTGTGTCCTCATCATGGTGATAGAGCTACAAACTGCTTCTGGAGGCCTGGATGTTAACACTCTGGGTTGCAGTTTTGTTAATCATGAAATAAGAACTGAGGAAAATCTCTTCCAGGTCTGACATCTCAGGTTGTCATTTGCTTTAATTTAGTCCTTCCATAACTATCATTGCACATGGGCCTTCATTTGTTAGATTTGGGGTGGGTGACTAAACTCTTGCAAGGTATGCTTGACACTGTTGCCTCTTAACCTTTCTGAGACTGTCTTGGCTGGACTCGCTTGAGGCAACCCTGCCACATCTGCTGATCCATTCATATCACTCAGTGTCAGAATGGGTAGGTTTTCTTTCTTTCTTTCTTTTTTTTTTTTTTTGACATAGTCTCAAGCTGTTGCCCTGGGTAGAGTATCATGGCGTCACAGCTCACAGCAACCTCCAACTCTTGGGCTTAAGCAGTCCTCTTACCTAGATTTTCAATTTTTTTTTCCTTGATAGTTTTAGTACCAGAAAGATTCTATTGATTCATTGATTAATCATATTTCCCAGGCAAAGGAGAAGGGAATGGAAAAGAATCAGCATGTATGTTATAAAATGATTAGCTGTCTGGGCAATGTGACTCATGCCTGTAATCTTAGCACTATGGGAGGCTGAGGCAAGTGGGTTGCTTGAGGTCAGGAGTTCGAGACCAGCCTGAGCAAGAGTGAGACCCCATCTCTACTAAAAATAGAAAAACTTGCCAGGTGTAGTGGTGGGCACCTATAGTCTCAGCTATTTGGGAGGCTGAGGCAAGAGGATGACATGAGCCCAAGAGTTTGAGTTGATGTAAACTGCTATGTCATGTCACTCTAGCCTGGAGCAACAGTGTGAGACTCTGTTTCCAAAAAAAAAAAAAAAAGATTAAAAATGATTAGAAAAATTAGAATGAAGTGTTTGGTGCAGCAAAATCAACCATCCCGTAGACACACCCTATCACCAGGGTGTCTACTGCAGGTTAGGAATGAGCATCAGGGATCAGGGAAAAAGCAGACAGGTACAGGCTTTCCTACCCTCCCTCCCTGCCCATAAATTTAAGATTTCACACAAAGCCTTGGTTTCTAGCAGTAAACATAGTGTATGTTTGTCTATCTCCTTATTCATCTTGTGTCCTCTTTGACCTAAGTTTCTCACACCTGCATAAAAGTTCCTGCGTGACTTGGATGTAAATTCATGTTCCTTCGCTTGGTGTCCTGATCTCACTTTATACGTGGAAGGCCCCCAGTTGCTTCTCTCTACTTTAGGATTACAGATTAAGTAGTTTGATCCATCCAAATACAGCCGTGTCTGAAGTGTTTGCCATGAATCACATTGAGGAATTGGTCTTGACTTAAGATATTGAGGACAAAGAGTGTTCTTGAGTTCTTCAACATATTTGCATAAATTGTTCAAGAATTATGGAGATAGCCCAGGCATTACATATGTGTCTATGTGGATGTGAAGAGGAGAATTAAGAGGTAGAGGTAGGAGTCAGATTTTAGGACAGAAGATCTGGTATAAAATAGGAAATTAGAGGTGAACACAAAGGATGGTTCAAGATTCCCACTTCAGGAAGAGAGCCCCCCAAACTAATATTTCAGATCCTTTTGCCTGGTTTTTTTTGAGACAGAGCCTCACTTTATCACCCATGGTAGAGTGCTATGGCATCACATCTCACAGCAACCTCCAGGTCTTGGGTTTAGGGGATTCTCTTGCCTTAGCCTCCTGAGCAGCTGGGACTACAGGCGCCCACCACAACGCCCAGCTATATGGTACAGAATCTTAAGTCAAAGATACTTTGGCCATGTTTCTCTCAATACAAAGAGTTTGTATATAAACTGTGAAAGAACATGCAGGAAGACC